TGACCCCGTCCAGCACAGGCTGTAACCCCGTACCCTGTTCGGTCTTACGACTGACCAGGAGTACCTCTGTCTAAAGACTACATAAAGAGCTAACCTCTTTATGTAGTCTTTTTAGATAGAGAGGTTGGTGATGGAGCCTGGAGTCATTTTGTTTGAAAAGCAGGTGCATACAGCCTCTTCGCAGTGTTGTTGCACTCCAGCCAGAGTTCACCTTTCCCTCAACACCAACTAGGAATCCAAAATCAGTAGTAAAACAGTTCATTAGAAAATGTACTAGGGTTGAATGAAAAGTAATGCCTCCCCCTTCGTAACTCCTCAACAGATGGCAGTCCTGGTATGCAGCAGGTACTGGCTTGTTCAGTAGACTCTCCTCTACAGTTCCACTTTGGCGGGAAGCCTTAGCATTGAACAGTTGTGTTGTTAAAGTGAAAAGTAATGCCTCCCCCTTCGTAACTCCTCAACAGATGGTAGTACTGGTATGCGGCAGGTACTGGCTTGTTCAGTAGACTCTCCTCTACAGTTCCATTTTGGCAGGAAGCCTTTGCATTGAATGGTTGTGTTGTTAAAGTGCAAAGTATGGAACCCTGCGCAGATGGTCAGTGCAACTTAAGCAACATGCAGCCATTGAATTCTTGACAGCAGAAGGTGTCACCCCAAAGGAGATTCATCAGCGAATGCAAACTGTTTATGGGGATTGTGTTGATGTGAGGACTGTGCGTCGTTGGGCGAGTAAGTTCAAAGATGTTGAGGTGGCACCTTCTGCTAACAGAAATTCACGTTGCTTAAGTCGCATTGACCGATTATCTGCGCAGGGTTCCACACACACACACATATATACACACACAAAAGACATATACACAGACTGGGCCACAGCAACGCATGGCAGGGGACAGCTAGTAATCTATATAAATAAAAATGTAATATTCGTTTGTGGGATTAACATAACTCAAAAACCATTGGACGAATTGACACCAAATTCGGATGCAAGACAACGAGTAACCATCACTCATAAAAACACTGGAAAACATGGTGGAAGGGACTCAAAAAGGCAAAAAGACACTACAGCGCATTTTCAAAACCAGATATATACACAAATATATACACACACAAATATGCATATATACATATACAAAATACATATACACAGATTGGGCCACAGCAACGCGTGGCAGGAGACGGTTAGTAATAGAGTAAAACAATAAATAATAAAACCAATAATAAATAGATTAAAATAATAAATTAATAATAATAAATACAGTAAAATAATGAAAGTAATAAAATAATAGTACAGTAAAACAATGTAAATGTAATAACAATAATAATAATAGAATAAAATTATAAATGTAATAAAAACAATACTAATAACAGAGTAAAATAATAAATAACCTGGACTCGTGTATAAGCAGAGGGGAGCTTTTTCAGCCTAAAAAAGGGGGCTCACAAACTTGGCTTATGCTCGAGTATATACAGTAAATAGAGTGTTTTCTTTGTCTTTGCCAGGTTTTGAATGAATACTTCCACAACGTCTGTGAACTTGACCTGGTGTTCAACTTCTACAAGGTGAGTTTTTGCCCTGGATCTTCCCGTCAGGGAGTTAAGGGAAAGGCGTGTTTGTCAAGTCAACTAAAGCATGGAGCACCAAAGAGGGACCTGTCAATCTCAGCCCTGTCACAAGATGGCGCCAGACAGCCATCAAAGGCATTATGTTATGTGTAGAGATTGCTGGAGAGGAGACTTTCCTCTGGGATGGAAATAATATTCAAAAATATCTTGAACAGTCAAGAAACCATAACAAGATGAATCCTGGATGGATAAGAAAATATGTAGTTTGGGGTTTATTGTATGCAAAATTTGTATGTGGCTGTTTTGCAAGAAAATAGCATTTTCTCCTCAGTTATTAAAAAAATCCAAATTCAGAGAATGCAAATCAATGAATCCCCCAAACCAGCTTTCTGTTGGTAATGTGTGTTTTGTAATTTGGGAGTTTTAGTTGCTGGGATTTATAGTTCATCGACTCAAAACATGATGGATCTGGACCAAATACTCCAAAGAGCACTGTGGAATCAAACAATGATGGATCTGGACCAAATGTGGCACAAACACTCAGTATGCCCACATGTCAACCCTGGTGAAATTTGGAGAAAATAGACCTTGACATTTTGGAGTTGTAATTGCTGGGATTTATAGTCCACCTACAATCAAAGAGCATTCTGAACCCCACCAATGATGGAATTGAACCAATCTTGGCACACAGAACTCCAATGACCAAAAGAAAATACTGGAAGTGTTTGGTGGGCATTGACCTTGAGTTTGGGAGTTGTAGTTCACCTACATTCAGAGAGCACTGTAGACTCAAACAATGATGGATCTGGACCAAACTTGGCATGAATACAGAATATGCCCAAATGTGAACACTGGAGGAGTTCCGATGACCAACAGAAAATACTGTGTTTTCTGATGGTCTTTGGTGACCCTTCTGACTCCCTCTTGTGACCCCCTCCCAGGGATTCCGACCCCCAGGTTGAGAAATGCTGATTTTGAAGCAGGACGGAAGGGTTTTGGTGCAAGCCATGCTGGCTGTTGTATACAAAGTATTTTTTAGCTCAGCGGAGAAAGGTTATTTCCTGTTTTTCCTTCCAGGTCTACACTGTGGTGGACGAGATGTTCTTAGCCGGTGAGATCCGAGAGACCAGTCAGACCAAAGTCTTGAAGCAGCTCCTCATGTTGCAGTCCTTGGAATGAGAAGCAGGGAAGCCAGAACAGCCATGTTGGAGCTCCCCTTGCCGGACCTTGCAGCCCCTGCCCCTCTGGGCCCATCTTTCTCCAACTGGTTCCTTGAGAGACTTACTCAAAGCAAATTTGGCCACTTTATTCGTAACGGGATGGGGGGAGGCAGTGTGAATTTGTGAGGGGCTGTTTCAATCCATAACCCTATTTTCCCCCACAAACGGAAGATGTCGAGTTTCCCGATCAGGACTACGATGCATTTCTGTGAGAGGGGATTATCCATAGCACCACATATCTCAGTGCTCCCTGTCACATTTCCGCTACCCCCTTCCTCACCCATTCATGTAAACATTGGGCAGGGTCTGCAGTAGAAGAGGGACCATAATTGTGTATGTATGTGTGTATGTTTGTGGCAAGCGGTCGTAACTGCCAGTCAAGTGATGTATCGAAACAAAGCATCTATGGAACATTTAAAAGCCAGAATAAATCTTCTATGTATCTAGAAGGGAGGGTTTTCTTGGTGCTTTACTCCTATGGTGATTGGGGCAAGATCATATCACAGAATTGGACATAGAATCCTTCTTATTGTCACAGTTCTTATCACAGTTTACTTTTCCAGGTGTCATTAGCAACTTTTAATTACAGTCCAGCAAACAGGTTTAGTCATAGATTATACAATCTCTAGAGTTGGAAGAGACCTTATGGGCCATTCAGTCCAACTCCTCTGCCAAGAAGCAGGAAAATCGCATTCAAAGCACCCCCGACAGATGGCCACCCAGCCTCTGCCTAAAAGCCTCCCAAGAAGGAACCTCCAGCACACTCCAGGCAGAGAGTTCCACTGCTGAACAGCTCTCACAGTTAGGAAGTTCTTCCTAATGTTCAGGTGGAATCTCCTTTCTTGTAGTTTGAGGCCATCGTTCCATTGCGTCCTAGTCTCTACGGCAGCAGAAAACAAGCCTGCTGCTCCCTACTGCCTATGATTTCCCCTCGCATATGTATACATGGCTCTCATCCTGTCTCCTCTCAGCCTTCTCTTCTTTAGGCTAAACACGCCCAGCTCTTTAAGCCGCTCCTCATAGGGTTTGTTCTCCAGACCATCGATCATTTGAGTCACCTTCCTCTGCATGCCATCCAGCTTAGAGTCACTACTTACTTAGGCGATCCCTCATTGGCCGAGTAGGATAGTCTTCCAGGATCAGTATTCTTGTGGGTCCATAGATGACTGTGGAGCCCTAGTCTTGATCTGCATCTTCTCCCGCAGTGAGGACATTGGTTTCCAGGTGGAAGGCGGTCCCGGTTAAGGTTGGCTTGACGCGCCTTCCTCTTGGCACGTTTCTCTCTTTCAGCCTCCATTCGTGCCTCTTCAAATTCTGCAGCACTGCTGGTCACAGCTGACCTCCAGCTGGAGCGCTCAAGGGCAGGGCTTCCCAGTTCTCAGTGTCTATGCCAGAGTTTTTAAGGTTGGCTTTGAGCCCATCTTTAAATCTCTTTTCCTGTCCTCCAACATTCTGTTTTCCGTTCTTGAGTTCGGATAGAGCAACTGCTTTGGGAGACGGTGGTCGGGCATCCAGACAACGTGGCCGGTCCAGCAGAGTTGATGGCGGAGGACCATCACTTCAATGCTGGTGGTCTTTGCTTTTTCCAGCACGCTCATCTCCCTTCAACTGCAATGCCCACAATTGGACACAGTGTGATTCCAGGTGTGGTCTCACCAAGGTAGAATAGACCATGGGTAGCATGGCTTCCCTGGATCTAGACTTTATTTATTTATTTATTTATTTATTTATTTATTTATTTATTTCTGTTTCTTCTACCCCGCCCTTCTCACCCCGAAGGGGACTCAGGGCAGCTTACAAAAGCAAAGGCACAATTCGATGCCCGCATCACATAAATAGTCAAAAACAGAAATAGCATCAATTCACAGTTAGACAGCAATTCCTACATTACAACTATAAAAACCAATAAAATCAATAAAACCAATACAAACCCCATTCCTCCTCATAAACAGTCAGCGCTCACTATCTCATAGTTCCACTTTCAATTCCACATTGTCAGTCCTGGTCATACTCGCCTGATTAGCTTATCTAGTTGTCAGATTGCCCAAAGGCCTGGTCCCACAACCACGTCTTTACCTTCCTCCTGAAGGAGAGGAGGGATGTTGATGCCCTAATTTCCCCGGGGAGTGAGTTCCACAGGTGAGGGGCCACCACTGAGAAGGCCCTGCTCCTCGTCCCCACCAGCCTCACTTGTGACAGTGGTGGGGTCAAGAGCAGGGCCTCCCCAGATGATCTCAAACTCCGGGATGGGATGTAGACACTAGACTATTAATGCAGACAAAAATCCCATTGGCTTTTTGAGCTGCTGCATGACATTGTTGGCTCATGTTTAACATGTCAAAGAGGACTCTAAAATATTTCAATCCAGTCATCTCCCATTCTGTATCTTTAAATTTCATTTTTTTCTGCCTAAGGATAGCCATTATTTTGAAATGATTTTGAAGATAACAATAATATAAATTCTTCCTTGTCTGAAAGTTATTTTTGTCCCTTTTTCTTGATAGGTAAGGTAAGGTAAAGGTTTCCCCCTGACATTTAGTCCAGTCGTGTCTGACTCTGGGGGTTGGTGCTCATCTCCATTTCTGAGCCAAAGAGCCGGCATTGTCCATAGACACCTCCAAGTTCATGCGGCTGGCATGACTGCATGGAGTGCCATTACCTTCCTGCTGGAGCAGTACCTATTGATCTACTCACATTTTACCTTCCCGCTGGAGCAGTGCCTATTGATCTACTCACACTTGCATGTTTTTGAACTGCTAGGTTGGCAGAAGCTGGGGCTGACAGCGGGAGTTCACTCCGCTCCCTGGATTCGAACCTGCGACCTTTCAGTCAATAAGTTCAGCAGGGCAGGGCTTTAACCCACCGGAGGCTCCTCTTGATAACCAGTCATTTCGTCCAGACTTCCTTGTTAGGAACAGAAGGTCTTTCCCCCATATTCTCTCTTGGATCACCTGGATAAGAAGACCCCTTGCAGAACATTAGAAGGACACACGCGTGCCCGCACAAGGCTATTGCCAGAACCTACCTCTCACCCTAATAGTTAAATGACCCTTGTGCGCAATGGAGACATCTGCATCATGAGCCTAATGCCAGAAGGGTTGGGTTACACCTCTGAACCTTTGGCCTGCAATCTTAGAGCCTTCCAAGGTCAGCGTGATGCCTCCTATAATTCTCTTCTTATTTTAAAGCAGTATATAAACAGGTGGGTCACAAGCCTTCCAGATTGCCCCTGATGGCTTCTAAAAAGGGATTGTAAATTGCATCCTTGTTTGCCTTTGCAAGATCTCTGCTGTCTCATGAGGATGACCCGAGGTCAGAGACAGTCTCAAATGCAGTTGCCCTGAGTCCTTGCTGGGCCTGAGCCAAGTGTCCCAACCTGGCTCCTGAGGACCAGCGACAAAGTTCAACAAAGTTAAGGCGTCAGCTTTTGTGAGTGACCACGAGAGGGCAGCCTTTAGTGCCCAAATTGCTCCCATCCCACTTCTTTCCGCAAAAACCATAATCTGAGGATGGCCTGGGAAGGAATCCCACTGGAGCACTGCAACAGTTTTGGACAGCAGTGGCTCCCAAAGTGACCCATTTAAGGTGGAATCTGGTGTCAAACAGGGATGTGTTATTGCCCCAACTCTATTCTCCATCTTCATTGCTATGATACTTCATCTTGTTGATGGGAAGCTTCTCACCGGAGTGGAAATCATCTATCGGACAGATGACAAGCTATTTAACCTCAGCAGACTGAAAGTCCAAACCAAGGTTACAACAACATCTGTTATAGAACTCCAGTATGCTGATGACAATGTCATCTGTGCGCATTCAGAAGAAGATCTACAAGCCACTCTAAACACCTTCGCAGAAGCATACGAGAAGCTTGGCCTGTCATTGAACATCGAGAAAACCAAAGTGCTGTTCCAGCAGTCACCAGCCAATCCCTCTCCAATGCCAGAGATACAGCTTAATGGTGTAACGTTAGAAAATGTTGACCATTTCCGCTCCCTTGGCAGCCACCTCTCCACCAAAGTCAACATCGACACTGAAATACAACACCGCCTGAGCTCTGCGAGTGCAGCATTTTCCCGAATGAAACAGAGAGTGTTTAAGGACCGAGACATCCGTAGGACCAAGGTGCTTGTCTACAAAGCTATTGTCCTCCCAACCTTGCTCTATGCCTGTGAAACGTGGACTGTCTACAGACGTCACATGCAACTCCTGGAACGATTCCATCAGCCCTGCCTCCGGAAAATCCTGCAAATCAGGGAAGACAAGCGGACAAACGTCAGCATGGTGAAAGAAGCAAAGACCACCAGCATTGAAGCAATGGTCCTCCGCCATCAACTCCACTGGGCCGGCCACGTTGTCCGGATGCCTGACCACCGCCTCCCAAAGCAGTTGCTCTACTCTGAACTCAAGAACGGAAAATGGAACATTGGTGGACAGGAAAAGAGATTGAAAGATGGGCCCAAAGCCAACCTTAACAACTCTGGCATAGACACTGAGAACTGGGAAGCCCTGGCCCTTGAGCGCTCCAGCCGGAGGTCAGCTGTGACCAGCAGTGCTGCAGAATTAGAGGAGGCACGAGTGGAGGGCGAAAGAGAGAAACGTGCCAGGAGGAAGGCGCATAAAGCCATCCCCGACCAAGACCGCCTTCCACCTGGAAACCAATGCCCTCACTGTGGGAGAAGATGCGGGTCAAGAATAGGGCTCCACAGCCACCTACAAACCCACAAGGAAACGCATAATGGAAGACCATCTTACTCGTCCAACGAGGGATCGCCTAAATGAAAACGAAACGACTGCAACAGGCAAATACCTGGGCCATACTCGGAGCTACCCTGGACCATGCTCTGACCTACAAGAAGCGCTGCCAGAATATCTCCCCGGATTCGAACTGCTGACCTGTTGGGCAGCAATCCTGCTGGCACAAGGGTTTAACCTAGTGTTTCTCAACTAGGGGGTCAGGACCCCTGGAGGGGTCGCAAAGGGGTGTCAGAGGAATCCCCAAAGACAATCAGAAAACTCAGCATTTTCTGTTGATCGTGAGGGTTTTGTGTGGGAAGTTTGGCCCAATTCTATCATTGGTACGGTTCAGAAGGCGTTTTAATTGTAGGTTAACTAGACATCCCAGCAACTACAACTCCCAAAGGTCAAGGTCTATTTTCCCCAAACTCCACCAGTGTTCACATTTGGGCATAATTAGTATTTGTGCCATGTTTGGTCCAGATACATCATTGTTTAAGTTCACAGTGCTCTCTGGATATAGGTGAACTACAACTCCAAAACTCAAGGTCAATGCCCACCAAACCCTTCCAGTATTTTCTGTTGGTCATGAGAGTTATGTGTGCCAAATCTGGTTCAATTGCATCATTGGTGGAGTTCAGAATGCTCTTTTAATTTAAATGAACCATAAATCCCAGCATCTACAACTCCCAAATGACAAAATCAATCCCCCCAA